ATGGAATAGGATATAAAACAATTAAAGAGAGACACATCGGCAGCAAAATTAAGCCCTGAGGGTGGTCCGCTTTCGTCGTAATAAAACGCATGCAAAGTTTTTCTTTGCTAAGCGAAGCGGCCGCAGCAAACGGAAGCGAAGCAACAGGCTTGATTAAAACACGTGTTTACAGAACGCACGTCCCCTCCGACAAACGCAATAATCCAGCCGGCTAGTTTAGTACTTCCACTCTCTACATCCACAACACACAGCTATGTCATTTGGCCGGACTTACTCACTTTTTTTCTGTTTTTAATAAAGCTCTACTAAAAACAGCAGACATTATTGGCATCCAATAAACTCAAACGTTCATAAGTCAAAAGCACGTTTCAGACTTCGCGTAACACATAACTCAGCGCATTTTTACGTCTGTAAATTATACTTTTACGATCGAAAATCATTTTTATGATTTCGAAGGAATTTAATATCACGCCAGATATGCTCCGCACATTCGCTCTTTTATTGAGCTGTAATTTTAGTGTTTTCTCAATTTTTATTAACTATCAACTACCTACTTAGGTTTCTGTTATTACGGATCGAAAAACTATCCCCTCTTTCAGTATAACGAAAATAATGCGCAATGAAAAAGTGATGATCTACTTAAACTTCTTCTCATTTTTCGTAGAAGGTACCTTAGTGATCTCCACTTCACTATTTAGGTATCGAAAATAATTTAATATTAATTCTTAGGAAAAAAAATCGTTAAAACAAGTTAGTTTCAAAGAAATAAACTCTTACAAAGGAAGTGAATAGTTAATTGCTTAAGAATTTCTAACCGCGGTATCTATATGACTGGTGCAGAAAGTTAACCCTGTGTTCATTTTCAAAGCAGTTTACAGTTTGAAAACGCAGTAGTTAATTTATTCTTTATAAAAACAAAAGATTGCTTTCTTAAAAATAACGCAGCTAGCGCATTTTGTGGTTGATTGCTTTCGTTGAAAGAAACCGCTAGTTGTAGGTATTTGTTGTAGAGCTCGCAAAAGAAATACTAAATCGAATGTCATATTCGAAGGTCAGCATCACTTAAATATTTTTTTTAAATTTGATTTTGCAGGTAAAAAAGTTGTGAATTAGTAGGTTCTAATTGCTACATAGTACATTTAATAATCGGTTCTAAAACGTAGAACTGAAAAATGTTTGGAAAAAAATAAACCCAATTTTGTCTTTTCTGTTGGAGTACCATGTTGACACAACAATGCGACCATCAGGTCACCTATAGACTATACGAGTATATTGCAGTCTTAGCTTAGGGAGAAATGAAAAGCAAAAACTCTTTTTCTTTTTTACCGGTTATGGTTCTACTCCAAGCATGAAATGGCCGAAACAATGATCTTAAATTCCGGCCGAAAGATTTTCTTCGTGTCGATAATAATTTGCAAATTTTGTAAATATTTGTTTTTCATATTGGGCATACCATGGGCATACCATCAACTCGTCAATGTGTTGTTGTTGTATGATTCTTGAATTCTTAGGAAATCAAAAAAAGTTTTTCGGGCTCTTTACAGGAAACGTTGGTCAGTTTGAATATATATATACCTACATATACGTGATTTAGGTGCCTTTAGCCTTCAAGGGTATCAATAAAATTAGTAAACTATGTAATTACTAATTATTTGCCTGATACAATTTGTTGTGAATATAAAAAATTAAATTTATTTATTATGAATCCCAAAAAGTTGCAGGTTATGTTGCGTGGCATATTGGATCTAGATTTTGTCCCACATATAGCGTATAATTTCACGCCTATTGCATATGTTTCTACTGCAACTAATCTTGGCTTACTTTTAGATTGTAATTTGGTTTGGAGTCCACACATTAATGAAGTCAGTCGAAAAGTTCATTTCTCCTTGCACTCACTTAAGCGCCTCCAAAACGTTTTACCTTTAAAAACCAAGACATGTTTAGTTCACTCTTTTATTTTGCCCTTAGACTATGCTGATTCCTGCTATTGATTAATGCTACTGAATAACTGATAAATAAATTTGAACGATTGCAAAACCTATGTATAAAGTTCATCTTTGGGCTTCGTAAAAATTGTCATAACCTTTTGTTTGTATTTTCCCTGTGTTAATTGTGATTTTTTGTGTTTTTTCTTTCATTCAATCAGTGAAAATGAAACACTAAAAGAAAACTGCATTTGGGTTCAACCGAAATATATGTCAAAAAAATCTAAATTAGGTATTCGTACATGTTTTACTTTGTAGATATTTAAGTCCCCAAATATTTAATAATCCACTGCAGTTTTCGTAACGAAAATCTAAGCCTTAATGAGAATAAATAATGAGACGCAATGAACCGTCTATAGACAGTCAGTCGAACACCAAATATATGCCTATCTACGGTTTTAAAAGTTATTTGTAAGTTAATTGATTTATTGTTAGAAAACTATAACTGATCTGCACAAATCCAAATTCTTCGAGGACATGTGCAGTTCTCAAGCAGAATAGGGTTATCCTTTTTGTTCTCAGAAATAAATACCAAGATAGACTTCCGCAGTTCCACTGTACATTCCTATGTCCTGTACCTATCTACTGACCCGAGAGATAAGGCTTTCCGGAGAGACTACGGGCTCGACGGCAAGACCAGGGTACAGCGGGCGTCCGGGCCAAGCCCTCCACCAGTGATACGCCTTTGCAGGCGTCTCTGGCGGACCCGGACTTGGGTATGGATTCGCTGGGGTTTGTGGTTAGCTGCAGAGACGGACATGTTTGTCTGCCCCGGTTGCATGTGTCCGGGGCGTCTGTCTCGTGAGCAGCTAGCGCGTTTTAGTAGCTGTCTAGTTGAAGGCCTGTATGTGAGAAGACGCGCGGGACACGTGAGTTGCCCTTTAAGTTGGAAGCTATGTGCGGACAGTGTCGCAGGACACTGCGACGGGCATCTCCGGCTCTAGCCCGGAGAGCTAGTAGAGGATAAGCTAGATATCCTCCGGTCCCTCCAGCCGCTTAGGTTATTGGGAACTGGAGAGACGTCGTTTCTTGGTGTCGGGAAGTGAGAGTGCCTTACAGCTCCGCCACCAATGAGGAGATTTGGTAGTGGACTCAGCGTCGACGACTTAACGGTGGCAACTGCTAGTTGTGCAATGCGCAACAGGAAGTGAGCGTGCCTAAAGCTCCGGTACCTATCTGGAACATAGGCAGGGTATTGTACGTGCACCCGAGGCGGCTCACCCGAGGCACTAGCCTTTCGAAGAACCGGATGAAGTCAAGTGACACAGGTCTGTGAGAACCCTGTATACACTGGCTGATCTGGGGTCAGAACTTGAACTGGTAAGGTTCCTGTGCGCGCACAGGTTATAGTGCCCTTCCTGCATAACCAACAGGTTGATAAGGAGGGGCACTATAAACAAAACTTATGTAGAATGATATGAGACTGTACATTCCTATGTTTCACCATAAAAGCGAATTAACCAGAAAAGTGCATATACATTGTACTGCGTCCTCATATTTGAGGTAGACTTACGTACATTACATATAAAATAAAAAATAATAATAAAAATCTAATTTTGGTTCAACAGTGATAGATCAGGTTCTCCCATTAAGCAAATGTATGCTTGTATACGTACGGTCACTAGTTGCTGTCGTACTGTAGATATCGCACTGTGGGGCATTTCAACCGAGTCGAATGTTTGTTCCTCAAAAACTTGCAATAAGAATCATATTAGGCATGGAAAGAAGATCAGCCCTGCAGAATCCTTCTGAAAAAACACCAGGAGATGACGGCGTGCTCACAATATACCTACTTACCAAATTATCGTTTACGGGCGATGTACGGACAAAGGCGAACTGCGGGAAAATTGAAATCCGTTGCCAACCGTACCGAAGTCCAACTAGAAACCCGCAAGTAGTCGGTCTGCGATACTACGGAGATGTGAAAAGTGTTACAAAAGACGAAATGTTTTACCCGCCTCTTAACTCTTCTTTTTTTTGCTTTGTGTGGTACTATTTTGTTTTATGTTAACTAGATATTACTGCCTATAAGAGACGATCACATTATTTATTAATTCTTAACATTACTAAATAACATAACGTTGTGAGTATTGATAATATAAATTAAATTATTGTTTTTTATGAATTGCTTAAAGTAAAATCAAAAACATCGTTATAATATTATAGTTCTAATCTTTCATTCCAATAAGCCATTTATAAAATCAGATCAAGTCGTACACGACTGTACTCCACGCGTCTCGCTTATCTCGAGTAGGACCTACGGATACGTTAGTAAACGTCACATCAAACGGCAAATTCTAACATCATTATGCATAGTCTCAGTGCAGAGTACTAAAAAAGCCGACCACAAAATTAATTCATCCCCTAGTTTGCCACCCTTAGAGGTGGAATATAGTAACATACATACAAAAAAAAACAGTCGAATTGAGAAGTTCCGCCTTTTTTTAAAACGGTTAAAAGTAACAGTAGGTATTTACTCAATTGTTTGTACTGAAAATATATTTATTATATACATATTATTAGGAAAAAAGTTTAACAACGACTGTGTTATGTGCAAAATATGTAAGTACCTATATGGACTCCTATAGCTTATGAAAATCAAGCTGCAAGGGAGCAAATCATTAACGATCTTTACTACCAGAATCGACTTCACGCGTTTTTCCATTTTTTAAAGTGAATTTTTAAAATTTGACTGACCAATTAAAAAGTTAATTGTGGTGACGCTGCAACAAAACACCCAATTGTTAATCGTATGTACCTAATTCCCGAACGTCCTTAGAAAGAAAAGTATTTTCTGGCGTACATTTTTTAAGGCTAAACAAGCCATGAAATAAGTATGAAATCTCTTTTTTAATGAATGCAAACTGTTTAGAAATAAACATGCAAACTTCGAAACGTCGCATAGCAACCGTCACATGGCAAAAAATAAACAGTCATTGGCTGTCATAACGCCATTGTATTTTCATTTAATATTTTATTCAGTTTGCTACTTATTTATAATATTTGCATTTCTTTACAGTACAAAAGTTTGCAGAACTAAGAAAAATGGGACCACATAGGACCATAGGAATCGCCCCAAAGACTGAGTGCATAAAAGGGGTAGTGGCCTGTCAATGTGAATTAGGTCGGGAGAAGTTATTGACTGCTCCTCCGTACAGAATGCCCGTGTCATTACCTATACCTGAAGAAGCCCAGCAGAGGTACCAAACGGCGCCCTGCTGTCGTGACGTTGAACAGTATCAATGCCCCACCAAGCAAATTTACGTCGTCTTCAAATCACCCGCCCGTGCCAACGAAGTGTTCAGCAAAGTCTTTCCAGCCACAACTCCTATCAAATATGTAAAGCGCAAACTTTCCAAGTTACTATCAGTGTCAAATAGCAATCTATTACTCACAAAAAACAGAACCGTACTGAAAGAAACAAGTCTCTTAAAAGAGCTCAAGGGTGATTCTTGTGGTAACTTACGAATCGACGTATTTACAAAAGATTCCGAGGAATTTTCCCTATCTTCAATACCGATGGAAGCATATGTATGTGAACTTATACAGGCTGATGCTCCCAAAAAGAAAACAATACCGTTCATCGCAATCAAATTCAAAGTTCGCAATCAAAATACGACGTTTACTCGTTCCTATCACTCAATTATGAAAATACATGAAATCAAAAAGAATTTGGGAGGTCTTTTTGGAGTGGAACCGGACAATATTGTGCTTTTACGAGCAGAGCACCCTTTAAAAGATCGCATGGCTCTATTAGACCTTGACTACGACAAATATGGCATAACTGAGGTTGAACTATTGACAAAAAACCATGAGAAGCTGAATTTCGAAAAACTATATAGAGAAAATCCAATAAATGACGTCATATCGGTTATGGTGCCCTTCGGTAACATGGTCAAACATGTGAATGTTGAAATATTCTCTGATGCAATGAAGAAACCTTATTTGGGTGGTTACAGAAACATTCATACAGGTAAATTAATTTTATATTAACAGACTGAAAGTTCGCTCGCTCTACTGAATCGACTTTATTATCATTTGTAATATTTAACGATAACTCTACATATCGTTACATATTTTGTTAGATTCTCGCAATCAATATTTCTGACAATGACAATTACATTTTTTTATCTAGGCACCGAGTATCATCACGCGTACACCCAGACCCCACAAAAGCCTGAGAAATTGCCTGCCGAACGGAAGAATTGTCGCGACACACAGACTGCCGAAGAGCGAGAAAAGATTTATGTAAGTGGATTTAAAAGACATACAAACAGCGGACAATGAGTTATCCCTTATCACACTACGAGAATTTTATTTACCGGGCTTGAGAGGTTGTGGTAGCAATTTAACGAATTCGTGCGGTAAATTTTTAATCAACTATAACTAAAGACACCAAGAAAGTTAATACACGGTAACATTTTGTTTATTGAAATCTAATGTGAAGAAACTACAAAAAATGGAAAAGGAATAGAGCGTGTTGTAAAATTATGTAAACCAATAAATGTTTTCTCTTTTTTAATAGTAGGAGGAAATTATTGCTATATTATTATTATTAGATCTTGTCTACTTATTATTAAGTATTTTTTGCTGAAGATAACCTGCTGTCTCATAATTTTTGTAATGTTTTATAATAGGATACAGCGTACAGTCGTGCGACGCAAATGAACAACCCAAATGTGTTTATACCAAACGTGACGGACCGAATTGTAGTGCCGAAGCAATACGAGACTTACGAAGAGATGATTGAACGTCTGAACCACAATCATTATGCCGCAGTGATACAGCGCGCGTTTAGGCACTATCAGTTTCGACAAAAGGTGACACGGTGGTTGGCTGAATGCTTGTACGTGTACTCATGTTATATTGTATGTAATTATACTGATGCCGTGAGACGCCTTGTATATAATAATACAAGGCGTCTCACGACTATGGCATACGGGGGGAACGTATTTTAAATATTGTAGATACGACATATTGCTTCAAAGTAAGCAATACTGCATTCAAGCACATTTGGGAATCGAACAGACCAAATGTGACATCATGTGTGAAACTCTGTAATATTTTTATGACGCCGATCGAAAGGTTCAATTATTAATCAATTATTAAAATCATTTTAAGTAACATAGTATCTTTTTAAAGGAACACCGTAACTGTTTATTAAAATTCAGTTCTTGAAAAACGAAACAAAATTGAAACTGCTGATGTATCTACGGTATTTGCAAATAATTTATCAAATGTTCAAACTGTGATCTATCTTGTTCTATGCAAATTCTCTATCTTTTGATAAGTTCGCTGTTATCTTTTTATGATGGATAAGCGAAATACTAAGGTTCATTCCGTTTTTAACTCATCCACATTGACAAGATGCAAAATTGAGAATTTGCATACAAAAACATGGAGCACAGTTTAAATAATTGATAAATTAAATTGCAAATATCGTATTAATTGCAAATACATTGGCAGTTACAAGTTTGTTTCTTATTTTTTAATAAGTTATATTAATGTATTTTTTATTTATTTTAATAGTAGTATACTACTATTTAATAGTCTATTTCATTTATTGATGTCAACACTTGAGAAAATATCCGCACCGCTTAAAGAAGACTAATCCTATTACAAAACCCAAATCATGTAATAAAGATTCCTCCAATAGATGATCTGATTTTAGGGAAAGAATAGCTAGGATTAAAGAAGAAGAGAGGCTGGAGAAGGAAGCGTTGGCGAGACGTCTACGTAAGGACCTCATTACTAAGACATTCCCTAGGACGCGTGAGGACTTCGATCAACTTTATGCAATGGCAAGTATCACAAATGAATTAGATGGTATCCCGAATAAGAAATGTGTTTTGGCTCCGTGCATAGAAGACATACCTACATGGTGACGTACATAGTGATTTTTTCAGACACCTCGTTTCAGTACTCAAAGATCAAAGGTCTCGCAGCCCCTCATAGCCACCGTCTACATTAATTAGGATCTTCAACTTAATTTAAAATATTTTGCAGGTGGATCGATGGAAACACGCAGAAATAGCACGAATATCACAGTTACATTCCAAAGGTCCTAAAATAGCAGAGTTCACATTGCTTCTCGATAAAGAGGTGGAGTTGCTCCGATGTATAGAAGACTACAGAGTACAAGTAAAAGAAGACAGTCGCAAGCTGAAAGAAAGACGATTTTTAGAAGAACTTTCCAAGCCAATTGCGTGGTACGGTCGTAATGGCAAAGTGGTACAAATGGAAACCATAGAAATACAAAAAGCAAGAAAATTAAAAGAATTGTATAATTCTATTATCCGAGAAGGTTTAGAGGTTAAAGATCGCATAGAACTTCTTGTAGACTTGAAGTTTGCTTTACAAGAATTTCGGCATCCGCTTGCTGAAGAAATAATCACACTTCTTGATAGAGAGTGCGACTTGCTTGTTAGAAGATGCAACGACCACCAACTGGAGTTCCTTCGACGACGAATCACAGCTGCTTTGATTCAATTGATAAAAACATCTGAGCTAAATTCTCACGTAACGAAATTGAAAGATATAAGAGATTTTAGGAAGATGGACAACGGCAACCTTTATTTGTGCGAGATGTGTCACCAGGTGAAACAGTATGAAGAGTTTCCTTTGAACACTTTGATGAATGGGTTTTTTGTTTGCAAGTCTTGTTCTTGGAAAGACGTTCATGAGCGTTTGTGGATAGACATGACGCCTTATAAGTTTATTTTGAGGGCCGTGCAACGCGATGAGAGACGCCGTAAATGCTGGGGATCCTTAGCTTTTGTCTTACAGGAAAAGGATATTTTTTATATTGTCGAGAAGTTGTGGCACTCTCATTCAGCCATTAGCGAATGCAGTGATATTACAGAATTACGACTGTGCAGATGGCATGTGAACCAAGATTGGTCGCCGTGGAATTGTTTCCTGGTAACAGTTCAGGAGATGAAAGCGCATTTGAAATTGGAGCACCCTGAACAAGTTTACGATGAAGACTTGCTACAGAAGATTCGCACCAAACACAATCTCGCTAAGGCGACATTCGAGCAACTCCTTTCTGTAAACAGACGTTTTACGCAGGCCGGGGATTGGCAAGGTGTAAGGGCTCCAGTCACCGCCCGCGTAGAAGCTGTAGATCGATTATGAACTATTGAATCTTGCCTTATACGTAGAGAATCAAAGAAGAAAAAAGAAGTAGATTTAATTTTTATTTAATAGAAACTGAATTATTTCCGTTTCGTAAATTAGAATCACCTTTTTTGTTGATGTCACAGAGTTTTAAATACACATATGTTCGTTTTGCGACTATTCGTTGCTGGTCACCACAACGAATTAACCATTTACTTCTAGTAGGCAAAGTTTAGTTGTATGACGAAATATGAATTAGCAAGAGCTCACGTACAGTCCCGAGGCACAGACGTCCTGCGGGCGAAATAATGCAGGTGTGTACATTGTTCCTAATAATTTATTATTGTTTCATGTTATTATTGAGTTAAAGTTATTTGTTAATTATCTAAAATATAAATATTAGATTTGATGTTCGTTCCTTTCATTCTTGGTGTACCAGACGACTTAAAATTTAAAGTTATAAGTCGATAAATTTAGAGGACTTTGAAAAAAAAATCTCAAACTTTATTTAAATTGTCCTTCTTTTAATAATTACAAGTAATACTTTATAACATAATTACACATTACATTTACAATAATAATTTCTCAAGATATCAAACTCTCGTGAAGTCCAAAACAACATACTATATTTTAAAATACAGGTGTGATATAAAGGTGTAATTTTCATAACGAAATGCACTTTAAGGGCTACACTTAGTTATACACACAGGTCAATAAATTACGTAAATATAATAATTTTAGGCAATAAGAATCGCAATAGCTGTACAACAAACACGAAGGAATTACCTAGTCTTTTTTAAATAATAAAATACAAAGATCCCAAATATAGCAGTCTACAAAACCATTGTAAGAATTCCGACTGCATTCACTTAATTAATAGTTAGTTCCAACGTAAAACCTTATAAAATAAGTAAAGCTGTCTGAAAATGTCGTTATATTTAAGGCAGCGAAGAAAAGACCACGTCTATAGCTCGTTCTACTCGAATAACAAAAGACAAAGAACTTCATTTCGGACATGTCATGCAATAACAATAATTTGTAAAATCTCAAGTAAATACCGCTAATTCTATAAGATTGTAAACAAAACAATTCATGTTTTACCTCCAATTAAAAAACTAAAGTGCCAAATTACTCGAATAATTAAGTACCTAGTTCATGTGCCTTAACATTTCGATAGTAAAAAAAAAATTCTGATTACTTGTGGACATTCAGTCAGGTTTTAGGAATAAAAATCTTTATAAAAGAATGTAATATCGTCCATTCGCTGTCTTAGTCCTAGTTTAACTATCGGTTAAAACTCCAACATCATAAAATTGTCCTAATTATTTTTCTCTATGCATAAATCATTCTCTCTTTTGCGAGCAACTAACGACGTTAGTGTTTGTACATTAAATGCGAGTGCCGCGCGGCCGTCACTCGTCTTGTTTAGAAGTGATTCGCGATTCGAATCAGTGCCTCTACCATGAGATTACAGTGACAGTTATCGGTAGCGACCGCATAAAATGTTTGTATTTAAAATGTTGTTTCTTCTTGTGACCGCCAGAGGCGCTGCATAATTTGCCATACAAAATTAAAATTGTGAAGTAATTTACCCGGTAGCTAGCGACAGCTGTCACAATAAACTCGTGGTAGAGGCACAGGTCTGCCAGCGACCTTCGCACTTTCGCTGATTGTAGCTTTTCACGCTCTCGGGTATACTTATAACGTTTAAAACCGACCCTACATCTAATTTACTCAACAGAAACCAACTATTCCAACTAGCTAAAATGTATTTACAATAAAGATTGTGCCACTTTAGAACAATAGTTCAAATTTGTAAACCCTTGGAGCGGTATTATACAAAAACGTGCACGACACAATATTCACATAAAAGAATACATATCTATTATACACTTACTCGACTATTTTTGCACTTTTATATTGCCAGTTCAGTGGCTTAAACTCGGAATATCTCAATTTTATTAAGAATTCATAACCCATATTCGTATAAACCGCATCTATTTAGTCCATACCAGTCAGGGGATTCATATTATTTACACTCAAGAGAAGGAAGATGATTCTGTTACAAAAAGATCGAGGTATCGGCGTGACGATATAACTATTTGCAAAGAATTAACTATTACAAATGGCATGTATTCCTATTCCTTTATTACTATGGGCTTACAATGTACAGGAATTGGATTAGTGAATGATTTTGGTATATATTTACAACTCTTATCACATATAGTGCTCTCACGGTTTGGTCTGCACAGAACGTTTAGCCTGCGTTTGTGTCAAATAACTGTATTTATTTTATTGCCTATTGTTTCTTCAATATGTTTCAGATTCACGAAATCCAGTCGTGTGGTAACCGCTGTTTATATCATAAACATGCAACAATAATTCTCACAACACCTAAAGAACCCAAGTAATGAAATTCAAGACGAAGCCTAAACTTGTTTTAAATTCGTAACTATAAAGTTCACTGCCCTTGATGCAGCGGTATCAAATAGACCATGAGCCGGCAATAGAGAAACTTACATCATCGAGTTATATATTCCAGTCAATTTACAGTTACAGTTTTAGCCAGGAATAAGCTTGTTTTACCAGAGCATATCCCGGAGAATAATGTGCGACAAAGAACCAAAATAAGGCTTATGCGCTCCTATAAGTGCCGATACGTGACGATCAGTGCAATGAACGTCAGTGTTAGTGGAAAATGATATTGTTCCTACACATTTTATATTTCGAAGCTATCCGTACTTGTCAGTGTTAGTAACGTTCAGTGACGTCAGTATTGTTCCGATCCGATACGCATTTCTAGCTGAGAATATTTTCACTACAGGCACGGCCGTCACATGTGACAGCGATACTACAAGTATTAACTAGCAATCATGGCACGCGTCAGTGTCAGTATTGAAGAGTGAGAATAGCACATCACGGTACTAAACGCTACCCTTAGAGGATGGAAAAAAAAAAAAAAAGGAGTTGCCCTAACTACGGAATGAACGTGCATACCTAAACAAAAATTGAACTAACAAATGGCGGATTTCTTTAGGGTCGTACCATAATCTATCGATAAGTCATTATCGACATGCAAAAATTTCATCAAAGTAGATCAATATTCCATTTGGGAATATTTTAGGTTATATGGGAATATCCGGGAATGTCACATGAAATTTTGAATTTATTGTTTTGCGTTTACAAATATTCAAATATTACGTGTAAAAGTGAATTTGCACAGAAAAAATGTAATTTGAGAGTGTATAAAAAAGAGAAAACTTGAAATATAAATCCTATACATTTCCAACCCAAAAATTCATATTTTCATAGATAAATTTTTAAAGAGATTCCATATAGTGTAAGCTTTTTTGCATTTATCATTGGTATATAATTAATATTAGTGACTGATTTAAGTGAACCTTTAATACTTCCATTTAATTTTGAAATAAATGAAAGTAGTAATATTATCAATAATAATATTATTATCATACGTTTATTTGCTCAAAACATGGTATAACAGGAGATGTAACAAGATAGTGTTAGTATAAACATGTTTCGCATATATTAAATAGCATGCAAATGTCTGATTATACAATGTCAATTGACTACTATTGGCCGAGCGTCTTTGATTTGTGCAGAAAAATCGACACTTCTCCGAAGTGAGACAAGCAGTCACGAGCGACTGCGAGTTGTGACAAGCCACGTCAAACGAGCTCTATACACGTTAGCGCTCGCCTTCACTCGATCAGCTAGGCGAGTAACATCGAACGATGGCAAGGCAAGGCAAGGCAAGTCTGTGTATATGTTGGTATTGGCCTTCACCCGGCAACGTTGGACCAACATGGTCATTGTATTGCTGGGTTTATAAAATAAGAATTTTTAGTAGTTAAAGTTGTCAGTGGGAAAAAATCGGAAACGAGTGGATAATTTTGTTTTCAGAAATTGAGAATACCTAGTAAATGAGACTTGTTTAATCTAAATTAAATATAAAATTATTTACCAATAAACCTAATGATGGAATTGCATTATCATGTAATCTAGTTACATTCAAAGTTATGTTAAAATTTGATTCTTCAAAATGAAGCGAATAAATGAAGATGGTCTTTGATTCAATGTTTATATTCGGCACTATTATACGGCACGGCGGTATGATTTCTAACCATTCTTTGTTCTTTTTTTATTTGTAGGTAAACTTGAAATAGTAAAAATAATAATAATAAAAGCCTCGTCGTGAATTGTTTTAATAACAGAATATCGATAATATGTAAGCTTCCAGGAACAATACTATCTCAAAATAATCGTTAACAACAATCATCAAAATATACAAACAAACAGGCAATCTGAAGAAACCAAAGCAAAATTTGGCAAGATTTATGAATAAACTACTTAAATATGTCTAATTACATCAATACTGACACTGACGCGTGGCTTGATTGCTAGTTAATACTTGTAGTATCGCTGTCACATGTGACGGCCGTGCCTGTAGTGAAAATATTCTCAGCTATAATCAATACTGACGTCACTGAACGTTGCTAACACTGACAAGTACGGATAGCTTCGAAATATAAAATGTGTAGGAACAATATCATTTTCCACTAACACTGACGTTCATTGCACTGATCGTCACGTATCGGCACTTATAGGTGCGCATAAGCCTTATTTTGGTTCTTTGTCGCACATTATTCTCCGGGATATGCTCTGGTAAAACAAGTTTATTCCATGAGATATTTGGGTTTTTGTGTGATTTATAGACAGAAAAATAACATGTGCCTGTACAATGTTACATTCGGTCGATCTTCGCTTTTTCAAATGCCACATCCCGTAATGCTGCAGCGACGAATTTTTATTAATACTTAATTGTTCTCATTGTCAATATTTTTGTCCATTTTATTACAATACATGCAAATAATTCAAAAAAACACTTGGAAAAACATTTGTTTTGACATTTGATGTACTTATCTTTGACAACCGTATTGATGGTTGGCATTTAAGGTGACGTTACGTATTTTCGATTCTCGTGTTTGACATAGACCAATATAATGCTAATGCTATCTCTTTTGGCTTAAGACGGCACGCAATAGTTAAACAAAGACAGTAACATGTTTATGTTTTCAACGTCGAAATGCATCATATACATAGAACGTCTGATTTATATATGTCAACATAACATGTCCTTTAGTTTCCATAATCTAAGACGCTACCGCAATGATCGTCACGTGTCGGCACTGATACGTAAGTATAGGCTTTGCTTTGATTGCGAGGCATCAACAAGTCTGTAGTAATGATAAGTAATTTTTAATTTATTAAAATTTGCTAAATTAGTTGAACTCATCCATTCCTTCATTTACAGAACCAGTAAAATAATTTTGCTTTACAATGATATCAAAAAAAAAAACGCAATATGACCAATTCAAGGTTCGCCTCTTGATACTAATTTGTTTATGACTTGCGATTAAGATACTTTGGTTCTTCTCGCATTATGCGGAAAAAATATTTTCTGATATTGGACTGTCGCTGTAAAATTAACAAAACCTGTAAAACACCACGAGGTAAGTTTCTCTATTGCCGGCTCACGAACTAAACGTCAAAGGTCTTGAATTCATACAGACTTGCGGGAAGATAAGGAAATAGATACCTTTAGTCCAGTTTCAGTGATATCCATCGACTTCCATTGAGGAGGACATTCTTTCCGAACTAGAGGTGCTATGACTGTAATTCATGCTATAGTTAAGGTTGCTAAGGGACATGTCCTGAGGGACGTCGGAAGGGGAGGTGTTGTAATAGTGGGAGGGATAGGCAGTGTAAGGGGCGGCGGCGGCAGCAGCGGGCTCCGGTGGGGGCTGCGACGGGCCTTCCTCGTCTTCTTTGTCGCTCGACGCCATAAAATCGATTATCCGCTGCGTTTGTTTGACGTGAGCTACTATTGCTGCTTCGGCCTGAAATTCGGAAGTTGTTTGTTAGATTATGTATAAGGGCGTAACACTGTAACCGATATAATCGTAATTAAACTTAGTACACAAAATTACTTTTTGTAACTTGTATCATAATTTTATAAAATACATACTACAGAAATCCTATTGGATAGCCTCAAACGCAAGGCCCATTTTTGTCTTCCTTTTAGCTTTCTAGTTTGAAGAGGGATTCAATCAACCATTGTATATTTAAAAATGTATACACAAAATTTACTTGCGATCTTCAGTCTAAAACACGCGTCTGGTGGACCAGCATTTTATAATACAAACAGTACAACCATCCGTCCACCCCTCCATTGATGCAACCTGTATGATAATAGGCTATACTTACACTGGCAGTAAGCGAGAGGAAGGTGAAGTACTTCTTGAGGGTGGGCAGCAGCGGCGCGTACGAGGGTAGCAGCACGCGGACGGCTTTGGCGTGCGCCGGGGACACCACTGCCATGTGGCCCAGTAGCAACGCCATGTATGCGCCCACCATGGTGTGCTCCATATGCGTGCCCGCTCGGGCTAGCACTGTACAGATTTCATTATATTACTTTATGAAGCGAAGCCCTAAATAAGTGTAATACGTTTGGTCAAAAGTGACGCTACGACCGCTGGCGACACTAAGACAACTTTGCTCTCATAATGTCACGTAACTAGTTAGTGTCAATATTAGTGGTTCATATTTTTACTGTATTACGCACTTGTGTTGAATTTTATTGTGAATATGGCTGTTAACAGATTGACTCCATGTTGCAGTTAATGCGTGAAGTCATAATCGACTTCATGCATCCGAGAACCACGACTGCATGAAGTTGATAACGACTTCACGTGTTAACTGCATGCAGTCGAGATCGTCTGCATGTATATAATGTGTGAAGTCGTTATCGACTTCATGCGGTCGAGGTCGCGGCTGCATGAAGTTGATTACTTCACGCATTAACTGCAAACCTGCAGACAATCTGTTAGCAGCCTAAGACACCGAGCTTTCCATTGATTAAAATAAACACGTAACAACATTGTAAGCTCGTGTACCATTCGTCGGCTTTGCGCGCCAGTTATTTTTTTCTACACTATTACTTTAAATTATACTAAAGTTCGTAATTATCTTTTTCATTTGGATGCTATTTTTATATATAAATCAAATTAAATATTTAAATATTTTTTATACATGAAAATAGCATCCAAATATAAAATAATTTTGTACTGAGTATCAATTAAAGGTAATATTGTAGAAAAATGTAAAATGTTACACCACTTTTGCGCTAGCCTCTAACATGCTCGATACCTTGTAATCTTATAAGTCACATACAATTACGATTCTTAATGACACATAATTATGCATATAAGAGGGACGTATTACAGATTTGCTTGAAGTAAATTTAACACCGCTACGTCGCCGTCGTCTAGTAGCAGTGCTGGGCGAAGCTGTTAGGGCTAGCACTGTACACATAATAAAAACCAACGCACTATAACATCAACAAACAATGTAATGGGTTTTGTTTCATTTGCCGCTCCAAGCGCGGAATTTCTTTGAACGTGGAAGACTTTTTGATTTAATTTGTAAAAACTAATATAAATAGTCGGCTTTATTTCATTTATAACTGTTATAATATACATACTCATAAATGTAAAAGATTTTGCGTTGTTGTTATTCATACGTACAGCCAAAGCAAAACTTACTTAAAAGTTTGTAAATATTATATGAATAAACTATAACGTTACTAACTCTAATTTTCCTTTTGTTTAACCTCATTGCAAGTGTGATGAAAAACATTGTATGTCACACAGGCAGACAGCAATTACTCGTACAATGTTTGGGTCAATAAAGCCGCCGCCTACGGATCGGGATTTGTATGTCCATCTGTTCGTAATTGTTTACGTAACGCCTTTGTGAAAATATATATGCAATGTGACAAAATATAATCATCGTCGACGTCGATAAAATGCATCGTTGCGTCGTACAGTACAGATTGGTTTAAGGGCGCGTTCCCATTGTCGTCACGTTTTATTTATCGTTAGACGACTGTCACGTCCAGCCTGTTCCCATATCGCGACTATCTGTAGTGACTGTGTCGTGGACGTTTATTTTATCGTTCAACGACTGTCGTGTCTAACTGTTCCCATTCGCGATCGTGACGACAATTTATCGGCTCACGGCAGCCCCTTGTCGTTTGCACGACAGAATCGTTTGAAGCTGCGATTATCTGTCGTCTCATTTTTATCGTAACGTTTCCTTTATCGTCCGACGACTGTCGTTCTAGCTCTTCACATTGTCACGACAGTCTGTCGTCGTAACGTCAAAAAGTCGTTAATCGTGTTGTACTATATGCGAACAACTACATTTAAATATACAAGTCACGACACTTTAAACTGCACGTCTATCTATCGTCACGACATAATGGGAACGCACCCTTACGGAACAAGTATAAGCGCCATGTACATATATATACATTGCTCCGTGTGTCTTTACGTACGATAAATATTTACAGGTCACAGTGAGAGTGGAAATACATCGCCCTGCTCCCCTTATTTTCATTACTCCATGTGTGCTGGAGCTAGCAACGTAAATTTTATTTTTTAACATCGGCTTCTGAACCATGGACAAAGACTCAATCTAATCAAGATGAGCTCTTAATGTTAGATATATTTTTAAGCAAAACTGGTAATAATGGTGTGATATCTTTCAACAATGGCACCAATGGCAAAATCGATTATGGTAAATCAGTCGAAAGATTATAGACGTTGAGTTATGTAATCCATCTTAATACACAAAAAACGCGTACATCAATCGCGCTAATAATCGTATAGGTTGATGAATTCTAGTGAAATAAACAGTTTTAGTTGTAGTGGTTTTTCTGAGTTAAAGTTTTGATCACATAATCCACACAGATCTAAATAAATTACTAAGAGATCCAGTGCGAACCAAGTTCTATTTTAATATTTATAGTTAAAGCTCAAAAGCGATTGTAGCTTAATGGTCCGACCTACCGCCTCTCAAGCAGAAGCTGTGGGTTCGAATCCGGCCTCGCACTTCTAAGTTTCTTAGAATTATTGTTTATGTGCGAAACTTAATTTGAAATTGATAAGGTTTTCGGGTCACATCGAAATAGAGGGTTCAAAAACCTCGGAAAACGTGTGAAGACCCCAACCCACATTGTGCCAGTGTGGCGAACTGTGGTCTAAACCCTCGCCTGAGAGGAGACCCATGCCCAGCAGTGAGACGTATAAATGAGTTGACGATGATGATGACTTACACTTAGCAACAGTTTCATCAATATCGTCTTGCGATGGTTTCTTCTTGTCCTTATCCTTCGCACCATCTAAAAGCGCATCCGTATTCTCTTCAGCTCGCCTGAAAAAAAAAAGTGATTAAATAATTAATTAATTTGCATAACGGTAGTGTAGTCTGCCTTACCATTAAACTTGTGTACTAATTTCTCACTGCTTTCACTTTCCCTTCTGAATATGATTAGATGCAGAAGCTGCCAGACGTTATGTTTACTTTTGTATGTATATAATTTTATAGTACATAATATATAATTATGTTATGTAAAAAAATATAATAATATACAAAATAACAAAATAAAGCTAAACATAAATACTTGCCCATTATCAAAAATTTCAATGATATTTGTTTCCTACACTATCAAGTGCTTATACTTATTTAGTATAAGTAATTAATTACGACTTCTATAATTACAATGCATAATAAACTTTTGAAAATATGAAATCCCGGTTTAATGCAAAAATAAATTGTTTTAATATGGTATTAATACAAAAAACCGCAAGTGTTCGTAAGTTTTCAAAGTGGATTTAGTTCCGAGTGGCCACCGCTAGATGGCGTTACTTGTATCCTAAAACACGCTAGCGGTTTGTTACAAGCGTTTACCTATATTGGAACCCAGTTCATAGCTAAAGTATACCTACCTACTTAGATCATTTTTTGGGAAGGTCACTGCAAATACAATTTATTTGTACTTGTAGACCTTATTATATACAGAGAGATACAGTTTACCTTCCTGGACCACGAAGGCTAAACCTCAATTAACTGTCTGCTGCAAAATGTATAATATTGTAGTTTGGCGAGACCAGTTTAGCATACTTACTGTGTCTTTTCAGATGTAATCGCCAGTATTACAAATTAACATAATTATGCGTTCTAAAAAAAAAACAATGAAAAACTGCCTCCGTGGTCGAACGGTTACCGTGCTGGACTGCTACTCAAGAGGTCCCGAGTTCAATTCCTGGGCCGGGAGAAATATTTGCGTGGCCTAAATTTATTTCTCTCGTGAGTTTGGGTGTAATTTGTGGTTGTCCATGGCACTTGCGATACAGTGTTTCCCTAGTGCGGTGATGTGTGCGTTATTGTGATCATGCAATATTTGAGTAACATGCATATCTTTGGCAGATAGTAAATTCACCTGGCAAGGTCTTCTCGCTTATAGAACAAATCTACAATAAGGTCCAATGCGGGCAGACTGCGTGAAATAATGTCGTCCTCGTTGTCAACGCGAATACGCAAGCTGAGCAGTCGTTGTGTATTCACGTCGTTGTTTTGCACCAGATTAATTAACAGCATCAGTACCTGTAAATAAATTTTAGGTTTTTATTGTCTTGCTAAAGTTGATCATAAAAAGTTATTTCAACTTTAAATTACAATAAATTTTGGATTTTTTACTTGTATTGTCATTGGCTAAGTAAGGCTTTTGAATTACATATTCCAATGAAAAAGTTTATATACTAATGGAAAAAGGTACAACAGTGGGATGATTATATAAATTTACTCAAAATTATTAAAGATCCCACGAGACTCCAGATCCTCATTGTAATCAGTAATAACGTACTATTTTATAGTTTTTTTTTTTGTAATTTTGGAATTCTTTAACCCTTTCATGGACACAGTAGCAGGGTTCATCGTAAAATTAAATATGATAGTACAGGGTAACCCCGTTTCGCTATATAGATCTCAAAAAACCAACTACGGGCTTTAGTGCGATTTTCAAGTGTTTTTTTGTGTAGTTGCCGCCTATTGCTTCCCTATAGAGAAATATCAACGACGTACTGACAAAATTCAATGATTTACGTACATTGAGCATTTTATATTGAAACAATAAAACCATTATGACAAGAAACGTAGTGACATTTTTTTATGAAAGGGTGCTAAAACAAAGGGTGGAAACAATGCTAAAACATTTTTCACACTAATATGTGATGGCATCAGTTATAGAATGCAGCCGGTTGTTAGGTCAACATGCTTTCGACTACTTCGTACCGTTTGTATCCCGTTCCAAGTTATTACATTCCAAATATCGTTCATAATAAGGTTCCGAAACCTCTCATTTTTGGGTAAAAAGGGACCACGCAGTTACTATAGTTTATAGGAATATTGTATGAAGGTTAATTGGAAGATTGTGTATTTGCAATTTAGGGTCTCACTACCGTATTTCTCGTGTTTAAATTTCAAAAGCGTTTCAAAATTCCTCGTTTTTTGTAATATACTTATTTAAAATTCTAACAAAATTGAATCACAAACTAGTTAGTGTACGTGTGCTGTGCAATACAAAATTACTTACGCAAACACAGAATTCAAAATTCCTATTGTCAGGAATTAAGTTGCCCTGGTTGTTGAGGATGATGAGGCAAATTTCCATGACGGATGGTTGCTCGCCCACAACCTGCGCGCCGAGCGAACCTGCAAAATCGTACCATCGTTCGTTACGTAAATCTATATAATAGATTTTTTATATGATACCAAGTGACAGTACGAACAAGTCGTGCGCCTGGTGGAAAGCGACACTTCTGTTCATAACAGTTGCAGTGCCCACTCCGAGCTTTAAATCGCAAAGATCTGAGGGGTGCTGCCACTGCGCCCGTCACCTTGAGACATAAGTTGGCAAGTCCATGTGCCTGTAATTTCACTTCTTTCAATTCATACTTGACTTTCTTGAACTGACACACATGTTGACATGTGAGTGGAAAGTGTCTGCGAAGTCGCCGACAAGTCAAAGTATAGATTTCATAATCATATTTAACAGATCGAGTTCTTAGGTTTTCGCGATTGTTACACATAGGAAATGAAACTATTTTTCCGGATTTAAATCGCGTATATTTGTTTTTTTTAACAACTATGGAACAAGAGAATTGTGGCAGGTAGGGGAACTTCAGCATATAAAGCAAGTCCTACATGCGAATAAGTTGAAGATTCCACGCCAATGCCCTGCGGCATTGGCCCCGTGTGAAACCACCAACAGTCGAGCGAAGACTTGCCATTTTACCTTACGTGAGAGGTGTTACAGACAACATCGGAAGAGTCCTCTGGCGTGCATCTATCAAGACCTATTTCAAGCCCCTGAGGAAGATTTCTCAGTTTCTGAGACCCGTGAAATGTAACATCCCCTTACAGGATGCAGGAGTTTACAAGCTTGACTGTGAGTGCGGTCTCTCTTATATTGGACAAACGAAGCGAAGTATTTGTACCCGCGTCAAAGAACATATATATAGCTGGTGTCAAACACCGTCGCGTAAACAAGTCTGCAGTCTGCGAGCATGTCATGGATGAACCTACACATTCAATGAGGTTTGACAAACCGCAGGTCCTTGCATGCTGCGAGAGGCCATTGAAATTAAAAAACATCCTAATTTCAACAGGGAAGATGGTTTCTCCGTATCACCAGTTTGGGATCTAGTATTTCTTCTAATGAAAAATCCCAAACAGACATAAGACTGCAGTACTAATTAATATGCTTTAGTTTATTCTAATTTCTATTATTAATTATCAATACATTGAACTTAATAAAAATTCATTTAATAAAATAATTTGTAAAACTTAATGTAGCGTAAATTGGAATGTTTTCTTTGTAAAATTAAAAATAAGGTATTTAATTAATAACTATGTAACTATAGTGAAAAATAGGGTGGTTTGCAATAATATTAGACATAACTGGTTGAAGAGTGTACCACCTCAGTTAACCGCGACCGTGGGACCTGTAAAGGGCCTGGAACTGCGGTTTGTTTGAAAAAACAAACTAAACGCGATTTAAATCCGGAAAAATAGTTTCATTTCCTACATATTTAACAGATCTTTTAATTAAATAATTTTTTTATAATTATTTCTGTAATTTTTTTTCTCATATCTGTAACTTTTTTTGTGTGTGTGTGACAATAAATGGTTTCATTTTTATTATGTTTCATACTTTCTTTAATAATTGCTACCGATTAATTGAACTAGTCTGTGATATACACGGGCTTTGCGGCTTTTGGTATTCATTTGTGTGTGTGTAATGAGTTCGGCCACTGACCAGTGTTCCCAAAGGAGTGCGATAAGTTGACGAGGACTTTGATGGCCGGCAGTGCGGCGTCCAGTAATGCAGTACGCAGTGGGACCGGATGGTCGTTTCGCGCCTCGCTGGCGCAACGTCGCAGCAGTGCTGCCAGCGTGCGCGCCGCGCCGAGAGGTCCGTTCAGTAAGTACATTTGGTTGTCTTCATTTTGTTGCGTCACCTGCAAGTTCCAGTTGAAAATACTAATTATAACGCACAGTAGAAAGGAAAAAATTATGAAGAATTTAAACAATTAATTCTACTTAGAAATACATTGCATATTTCGCCCTGTTCTGTCCAACCTGTATCACTTTGTTTGTCCAAAAATAAATAATGCGGAATAAACAAAACCATGTGTCGGTTATGTGGGTTCCTGGTTAGTAAAACCGACAATAGCGTATTCTACAAGAAATGACTATATGTTTCCATAAATGCCAATGCGTTTGTCACCCTGAGACAAATTTGTCGGGTCCCATGTGCCTGTTGTTTTACCAGTACTCTTATCCTCCAAAATCCGAACACAGTATTGCATACACTTTTGTTTGGCGGCAGAAATAGGTATGCTGGTAGTATTTCTTTAGACGAACTCTTCATTTAAAGCTCTACTTCTACTAAGTGTTTTGTATTCTTACATTTTCCAACACGCGCATACACCTGTCTGCTTTCCTCAGTATATCGATTTGCGCGTCAGTCCACGAGTTTGCGGGAGACTCCAGCTTGCTTTCACAATCTTGAATGGTGCGCACAATATGGTCCACTCCACCTAATACACGTAGTTCTTCTTTGAACCACTCCCCGGCTCGTTTTGACGTCAGCGATAGGAGGGTCTCCATGGCTAAATGCCCCACCTGTGTTTTGAGCAATGGGTTTTATGTTTAAAACAATTCATTAAATAATAATTGACGATATTATAACCATCCAGCTATAATGATATCATTAGGAATATCCCTTAGTTATTATGGGCTAAACTTATATAATTGCCAAAGTAGCCGATTTTGGTCAAGAGCATGTTCCATTAGAATAATGTAGTATACCATCTCAGATGAAATGTGTCTAGTTCTTAGGGCGCCCTTAAAATAGACGCTATAGAAACTGCAGCCGCGCCACTCCTATATTCATATAATATTTAGAAGCGCAGCTGCAGAGCCACGCAGATTAGCAGCGTTTCTACACGCTTCTAATTTGAAGGCGCCCTTAAATAACAGTCGATGGTGAATATGTTCAGTGTTTCTTATTTACCGACAAAGTACTTACAGTGATATTATCTAAGTCCAAATGCGTAGCTTTCCCTTGACTCTTGATTTCGGCACACAATTCCCGCACCCGCTCCTGCGTCTTGGCCAGCTGCGCTGATGTCAACCCGCAATCGTCGAGGGCGTTTCTAGGGAACGCAAATGTAGATTACATCCCTAATGTCAGAATTTGCAATGGGATTGGCTAAGTAACGTTAAGAGAAAAAAAAAGCAATATAATGTTCTATTCCATTAACAAGTTTTTACAATTGTGCAAAATTATAATGAGTCAACTTCTAGTGTACAGTTAAGAATTTATTTTTTAATGTGTATATATTCTTATATTATAAAGGAATTTAGAAGATTAGGACAAATTACTTATGTGACACGTCAGACTCTAGTAAGTTCAACATGAGCTCGAGCGACTCGCGGTCGAGATCCATGTTGAGGCGATCCTGCGACAGCACGAACATCACCGTCGCTGTACACAGGCCCAGACTCTGTAACAAAACCATGCCACTGCCGTCACTTGTTCGGCTCAAGAAGATTTTGAGTGAACTGTAGGCTCAAAAAAATATGGATTTCAATTTTAGACTTTAAAGCACAAACATCATCATCGTCGTTCTTGACAGAGTGAAGAGAAATTTCTCACTTGGACAATTTTAAACAAAGCACTAAGCGCAAATCAGATTTTGCATGGAGTACTGCGCGAGTATAGTAGTCATCTGTGGGATGGCTCAGCGAAATACTAACTACAGGTTCTTGACTCGGATGAGCGCCGTGCCAGGAAACCCATTGGCGAGGATAAACTCGTGTCTAATCTTCATAGTTTATCTAGCCCATCGACGCAATGGTGACTGTCTGTCGGTTTTCTACAGATTATACTTGCCGTGAGTGTGTTCATGAGTTCTACTAGCTCATTCCACCCGCCCCCTTTTTCCATCTGATATCCAGACGTATGGCGGGATATCATGCTCATTTGATTAATATATTCTTTCCGACGTACTAAGCACTTTATTCGTCATCCTTTACAATGCGCACAGTCTAGGAATTGAACTTCCTGCGTGTTTGTGTTTTCGAACACATTCTACCCAAATGTCTGTCTCGCGATTGAATAGGCATTATCTAGGCGTGCTCGTTCCATCGTAGATATCATCTTTGTCTCGAAGAGTACGTCAATTTATGATTTCGAAAAAAGGTAGTTTTCCATGCACGTAAAATAAAGATGTTTTGTCCTCTGATTTTCAGAGGAATTATTCGTATCGAAATTTTTGTATAAGAAGGCTAATTTATGAAAGAAGTTCTTGTTATTAACGTGAGATTACTTTCCAGACGATGATATATACTACAGCTGACCTAATCGAAAACAAACAGGGCTGACGTTAGCGATCCCGCAACTTAAGGGAAAAAAAGATAGATCAGTTGAACCTATGGCACCGATCGTTCGTCTAATGTTGTTGTCGTCTAGTGTCCATCTGTTTAGGTACTTAAATAAATGTAAACAATCTTGAGATGTCTATTTAATGAAATATACATTTATAAAATGATTTTCCCTTACCTTCAAATACAAAATACAAATACTTAGCTGCATATGAAATTGCATGCCTATTTTTATACCTATTGATTTGTAAAGCATGTTTCAATAAAAAGATGTATCAAGATTGTTTACATTTAGTTAAGTACTTAAATAAATGGACTATAGTGTCAATGTTGCTTGGTAGCTTGGTGAAGTGCTGATGCTTTTTTGAATAAGTAAGATAAAATACCTGATCGTTAGTAGCATCGTGCAACGCGCTGAAGAACTTTTGTACGGTTCCGTGGGCCCGCAGATGCATGCGGAACGCCGGCGCCGTGCACTTGCTCGCCAGCGTGATGGCTGACAGGCAACGGGTGGAAATTGGGTTGTTATCCTGTAGATACACGTCGATAGATCTATAGATAGAGTCTCGCATACACGTACGATAGTTAAACTTTGAGTAATAAGTATAATGTACGTAATTTTTTTGTATAATAACATTATGCATGAATTTAAAAAAAAATGTATTAAGTAGACAAAATTGACACAAATTGTTGCACAGTCAAATTTTTTTATACCACCTATGCAAATTATTTATAACTGTGTATTACATGATAAAACTTGGAACGAAATGTTTGTAAAATATTTGTCCAAATCGTCACGACCGAGCGAAATTGCGAGTGTATGTAGACACTTTTTTGGTGGATTTTTGTTTTGCCTTTAAGTTTTCATGTAATAAATCCTTCAGGAAAATGTCCAATTTAATCAGAATTAGCCTCTTTAAAAAAATTGCTGTAGCAGAGCAGCAATTCATTACAGAAAAGAGACAGGATGCCTCGATAGAGCTTTCTCTCTCATGCATACTAAATACATATCTAGCAAAATTGAGTTATTAAAATAAATATAAGGAATCAGCAAAAAGAGATTTATACCACCCTGTAAGCTGTTTTTTATATCTAATTTAATTTCAGTTTTATTGTAAAGAAAATCAGCATAACGACATATTTCAAAGAAAAAATCAATTTTAGGTGCCAATATCTCAAAATTTACCAAAAATGAAAAGGACAGTAGTACTAATAATAATAAGAATACATAAGTACCTGTAAATTATCTAAAAGATATTCAACATCATCATTAAACTCCTGGAATTCTCCAATTTCTTGAATTTGGTGGGCTTTCTTAACATTCCTCACTACTGTGTAGAACTGTAATTTAAAATAATGTAATGAACAAATGTTTTGCTATTGTCTGTGATTTTTTGTTGATACTGTCTTGGTGTTCGTAAGGAAAAAGGAAAATATAACAATTTTCTTCTTTAGGCTGATTTATATTGACTTTTTCTTAATGGCGTGTGTCTTTTTCAAATAAATTGTGTTTTTCACTGTTATAACTAATGTTATAATTCTATATTAGCATTTACTTACACATGTATAAACAGTAGGTATAAACAAAATACTGCTTTGTACAGATACAAAGCAGTTATAATAAATACCACTATTAGTAAAAATTTGAGTCAAATCAGCATGCAAATGGTTTGTTTCATTTCATATATTGAATATATGATTTGACTGAAATTTTTTAAATGTATCTGTATAAAGCAGTACAGATACAAAGCACTTATAAGACCATTTTCTCGGAAGACCATGGTCAAAAATGCCCATTGAATATGACAGGCAAAGGTAATAAACAATGTTGCATTGGATTTGTACAAATGGACCAAACTAATATATTATGCTTTTCCTAACATCAGAAACCATCAAGTAGAAATAAACTAAAACAAAACAAAAATAAAAAATGAATTTTGTTTAACAAGCAATATTTCTCCAATTAAATCTGTTACTTAATGTAGAACAATAGAAATATTTAATATGAAATTGAATATGTAAACTATTGTTTATATACATGTTCATTACAATTCTTCCGCGCTGTGCTTATTAATTTCAGTATGGAACATGTTACAATATGTACATAATGTATAATTATGGTACATTGGTTTATTATATATACAGATTGAATTGATTGAAGGGATGAACAAGTTTTGTTCCTGGTGGTAAGCAATACGCCTATCTCTGGCTGTTGCAGTGCCACTTACAGCTTTAAATTACAAAAATCTGACGAGCACTGCCACTGCGCCTGACACCCTGAGACATAAGTTGACAAGTCCCATGTGCCTGTAATTTCACCAGCAGTCTTATCCTTCAAGACCAGAATGCAGTTATGTTCACATTACTGCTTAGCAGCAGACGTAGGTAAGGTATACTACATTATGATAACATAGGAAGCCAGCACATCTGTGCTTATATTAAGTTTATTTTACATGTATTCTCTCTATATATCTTTTATGCTGTATTTACATTTGAGCCACTCACGTGAATCAGCAGAGTGTACATATTTTAAGCACAAAGTCAGCATACAGATGTTCTTTATATGATAAAAGTATGCTTATGGTTTACTCAAATTAATGTGAGCAATGTTGGTGTACAATAATAATTCATACCTCTTTAGCCTCCTTAGCACACTTGACACTTGTATATGGCTTAATGCTTTCTGTGGTCTCGGGACCATCAACCACTAAATCAGGAGTGCGGTATTTTGTGACTCTTGTTAATTCCTCTGGCACTTGACTGACTGGGTTACTGACCTCTATTTGTTCTGGCTGTTCTGGCCTTGGTGTTTCATTGCCTTTCTGGAAATTTGAAAAGATAAACACTGATTTAATATTTTTGCTATTAACATGTACCTTCATAATACTGAAACGTTATGTAATGTAAAATGAAATGCAAAATTTGTATTGTTATTAATTGCTCTATTTGTCACTACTTAAGTTGTTATTTAGATAAGAACCACAGGTTATCATTGTTTACAATGACAAATAATACGTTAGGTCAATGTTTGCAACATTGCACCAGATCCTGCAATAAGAAGAAAAACAATCTTTCATAGTAATAAGGATTCACAGAATACTTACATCATTCCATTCATGTCTGTAAAGATGTCGTCGTTTTCTAGCAGGCAGTGGTGACGGGTTATCATTTACCAATGACTTACTTTTGAAGATAGAGCCCTTTTTCTTAGTAATTACTAACTTGACACTTGGTTTGTCATCACTGTGATTGTCATCACCTACATCATGTGGAGATTTAAACACATCTTCATTTTGCTTATGCAGTTCTTCTTCTGAGTATTCATTAGGACAACTGTTGTAAGCAGAATCTGATGACTGGGTGTTCAGTTGTGCAAGATTCGGTGTGTCTTCAACGTTTACATCTCGCAAAACTCTGTCCGATTGAATTTCTTCTTGAGAATCATCCTGATCATGTTCTTCAGGCTGTTCCTCGGTTTCATTATCTTCAGAAACTTGTGGTTCTTGCAAAGCTGGAGTATTATAATCCGGACTAGGATGTTTACTCTGCACATTTTTGTGTTTCTGCTTCTTATGGGGCTTTTTGTGACTTTCCTGTGGTATCCCCGTGTCTGAACCAGAAAGTATGTCAATCAAGTCACCCTTTTCAACTTGAGATTCTATTTGTTTCTCAGCTTCCTGTTGCACTTCTGCAGCAGCAGCTTCAGCTATAGCTGCTTCATGCTTTTTCCTTCCTCTTTTGCCTTCTTTCTTAATATCACTCACTGTTTTCGTTCCATGCTTACTTTGGACTGTTTTGTTTGTGATGGCATCTAGATAATCATCGTTTTCACTGTAGTTAATGTTTGGCCTATTTCGTCTTGACCTTCCAGTGGTGTTTTCAGGAGGCTTTGGCTCTGGTAGAGGTTCTTGTGGTTGCACTTCTAATCTTGGAGATGCATGTGTAGAGTCCAACTTGGCTAGTTGTGATTCTATTTCATCTTCAGTTTGCTGCTTGTTTTTGGATTCCTCACGTGCTGGAGATGCTAGAGTCTTATAAAGATCATAAGCATCTGATCCAGGTTGAGGTGAGCTGGGTTTCTTTAATGGCTCATCATCAGAATTTTTATGATGTTTCTTGTGGGACTTATGTTCTTTTTTGTCTTTCTTTTTCTCTCGTTTCTTTTCATCTTGATTGAGCCCTGCGCATTTAATTGTAATTTTCAGTCCTTCATGTTTTGGTGAACATATTGTTTCCATTGCAGGACTCTTTTTATGGTCAGACCCAATATCTGAATGTGTGTCCATGGATGAATGTCTATCAGAACTAGGTGATGTGAACCCTTCATTTGAATCAGTACTGACAATTCTAGATGTTCCCTTTGATATCCTAAGCACAATTGGAGGCGGTTTACGCTCTTCACTAGCTTCTTTACTTGTGGAAGGACTTGCAACATCTACTTTAGCAGGGCCTGGTGTAGGGCTTGGCACTAAAGGACTCACTTTAGGTGATGACACTTTAGATTGAAGTGGTGAAGGTTCATATCGGCTGAAGTCCGGTATTGGGCTGTTACTCCCATCCTCTGCATAGTTAATTACTTTATCACGATTGCGAACAAGGTAACGTTTATTTGGAGGTTGAGTATTTTCAGCTGGTGTCTCTTCCTTTCTGGAGGCCTTTGTGGCCACTGAATTTTTCTTATTTTTAGTTTTCTCAAAACTTTTACGTGGTAACTCAGGTGATGATGAATCTCTAGTATAAGCTCTACTTCTTTTTGTAGTTTTCTTTTCTTTGCTATTAGAAGGATGTTCTGGAGATAATGGTGCAGCAGGTACTGGAGGGGCATATGTAATTTGTGGAACTGGAGGATAAAGCTCAGCATTGCGAGATTTAAAAAACTTTTTAGGTTTTGGTGGAGGTTGCTCAGTCTCAACTGCTGGTACTGTCAGTGGACTGTTTTGATCTTGTACAGGCTTCTTGACATTACTTGAAAATGCTGAAATGATTACAGGTAAGATTATTAATAAGAAACTAATACAATTACAGTAACTAAATATTCAAAGCAACAATAAACATAAACAAATGATTATTAAAGTTGTTTACGCTTCACGTACACACTAGTTAGAACGAAAATTTACCTTTCACTACATTATCTAATGAGAATCACATTGCGTGTTTTGCACGCAACTTACTTTCGAGCTCGAACCTACTTATTCAAGGTTGATAACAATTGTGAATGGTCTTGTTTTCTTACCGTAGGGCGCGCTTCTGATCGATGTAAAACTGGTGATGCCCCACTTGCCAACGGTTCCTGCGGAGCGTGCCGCTGAAGGGCAATTACTGTTCTCTCTAAAGAGGGCACTGTCCAGCGGTACGGCCACACTGCCGCTTCGGCCTCTGCCCCAGCGCGACATACTGATAATTTCATCAAAAGCGATGACACTTGCACTCCGTTATAAATCAATCACTTCAAATGTCAAAACAGCACGCAGCACATGCCGCCTCGGAGTACGTAATGATAAGACGAGGCTAAGTTAGTCACAATTCAAGTTTTACGACGAACGTTTGGTAATCAATCTATGACTTTCTCTTAACGAAACGAAAACAACCCAAGATAACACACCCGCCATTTTTACAGGAGCGAAGTACTTTTCCCACAAACGCATACACACTATTATTTCACTGATAAATAATGCGCCACTTTTGCATAATCGTCATCATAGCTACCGAATTTGTTTGAATGTTTAAGGTAGTTAATTACTATTGATTTAAGCATTTATGAACGAAAAATAGGACAAACTACGATGTTGTCAACTCATAACACTAGCGTCGCCATATTGGCAAAACAAGACAAGATGAAAAATCAGCCAATAGAAACACGAGAAAGGTATTTAAGGGTTACTATTGGTATTTTTAATTTGCTCAAAAATTTTTTGCTAACATTAATTTTATCTCTTTAACACATAGAGAAAACTTATATTAAATTATTTTATTAATTTATATTGTTTTGATTGGTGTGACAGAGAACATATACAATACGGACATTCCTGGATATCATGAAATTCATTCCAAGCAAAACGCCACTGACATTTATGGCGTCGAATATTTGTTGCAGCGCGTCGCGCCACTCCTTAGGCAATTAGAGTATTGCTTTGTTTATTTTTTAAATAATACATTCCTAGCAATAAAATTATTTCGGAATTTAATGTTCACACTTTACAACAAAATCTACTTTCTATGGTTAAACTGAATAACATTCCAAGTTACAGGTTTTTTTCTTAAATGGCAACAATTTTCTATTCATAGACAATTTTGTTACTTTTATATGATACGTTTGCTGTAGGCAATGATAAAAGTCGACTGTACAGCTTAACAAAAAAGTTAAAGGCGTGTCGGTCTCTAAGTTAATAGTTTACCCGACGCTAAATGAGGGAAGTTATAACTATGAAGATGTGTGTTTGGGTATGTATTTGTCTGTATGGCTGCTGTGACGTAGTAGCTTCCTAACAGACGGATTGACCTTAAAGAGTTTTGTTTGAAGGCTAATTTAACTGGAATCATTCTTAATTCTGTTAAGGTTGTAGCTCCGTTCCTAGTGTAGGGATTGCAGTCATAACATATGAATACTTATTACAATTATTTTATTTCCACTTGTCGGATCGTCTTGATTTGGTATGTTAGGTATAGGTGAGGCGCACTATAAGTTTCCGGAATGAATAAGAAAAAAATACTATAAATGAATTTATTGTTTCTCAAAATATTCTCCGTTAGAGTTAATGCACTTTTTCATACGAATAAAACAATTTTGAAAACATTTATGCCACTCCCTCGTGACAATCTCTGAAACATATTTTTCATACTCTTCGACAGCCTCTTCAGGTGATGAATATGTTGACCGCGTAACTGGTTCTTAATTTCTGGAAATAAATAAAAGTCACAAGGTGCCAGGTCGGGACTGTACGCGGGATGGCTCATTAGGTCAACGTTGTTCACTTTCAAAAATTCATTTGTCTGTCTGGCCGTGTGAGAACTGGCATTATCGTGGTGCAAGATGATACGGCATTTACGGGTATTTTTACAGTGTTTGTCAATAACATCCGGCAAACAAATAGTCGTGTACCAATCACTATTCATGGTACAACGATTCTCAAAAGCAACAGTAGCCACGTGTCCAGTTTTATTAAAAAAGAAGCAATCATTCGCTTAGAGGCACTTTACACGCTCGCCATATTGGTTGGTTTCGGCTCATCACGAAAGACCCATACGCTCGATTGTTGCTTTGTTTTGGAATCGTTACTATTAATACATATTTCGTCACCTGTTACTATGTCCCACACCAAATTTGACTCCCCTTCGTTGAATCTGGCAATCATGGCATTGCACCAAGTGACGCGATCCGTGTTTTGAGCCTCAGTCAAATTGTGTGGGATCTACCGAGAGCACAGCTTTTTCACAATCAAATGTTTGCGTAGTATTGATTGTATTTGACTCATGCCCATGCTAGATGCCCGGATCTCATGGTATGTCACATGCCTGTCTGTTCAAATCACGGCGCACAGCATTGATATTTTTGTTGTTCACAGCATTGAATGGGCGACCATCATAAAAATCGCTACTGAGATTCACACGACCGCGTTTGAATTCTGCAAACATGGTGCTTTATCGCCAAAAGCAGTTTGAAGCCGAGCAAAGCTCCGCTGAGCTGTAAAATTACACTTAAAGTCGTAGAAAATCATACTACGAAAATTTTCACGAGTTAAATCCATGGTTATGTAGACAACCAATTTCTAAAATGACGGTACCATGACAGTCAGATTAAACAAACTGTATTCTACAGCCAAAGAGTCCCTTTTTCAAATGTTCTAATTACTTATTAAATATTGTTTATGTACTTACAAATCCTAAAAATATAATAGGCTTGGGCCTTTTCAAGACGTGATTGAATACTTAGGCATTATTTTGTGCATGCTCCATAGTCGACCTCATCGTCATTTTCCATCAGGTGAGATGGAGAGGTCAAATGCGCACTTAATTTTTGATAAAAAAATGCCGTGTCGTATAATTTGTTATGTACTTACAAATATTCATTTTGGCAAAACTTAAATTATTATTACTACCTCCTTGGAATTAAAAATTTGGGTGTTTATATATATATATAAAGGTAAGACGCAAAATAAAATTGGTTTGAAATATTTAATATTAGTCTGTGTTTTATAGGATTGTTCTCTAACAGTTCGTGTGGCCAAGTCTTAGTTTGATACTTACTAAACAATTTGTAGATGTGTAGATATCATTCATAAAAGGAGGTCATGATTTTTTCTAGGGTTATATTTTTTGAAATGTTTAGCAAAAACTTTAGCAAGTAATTTTTTTTAACAAATTTTGTTATATGCCTATTTTGGTTGATTTAATGCAAAGAAATCTAAATCTAAAAAATATCTATTTAGATAGGTTTTGTGATATCTGTATCGTGAATTAAACCTAAATATTTGAAGCTTTGCACTTATTAATTAATTTATTTGTTAGATTCGCCAACAGAAATACATTATTAATATAGACATAAAATAACATTGCAGAAATTACTCGAGCGTAAACTCAATAATAGGCAAATACAGCATACACATAATATAACATCATAACAGAAGAGTTTACTGTGTGTTATGTTACACACAAACTTTGAATAATAATGCACATACAAAAAAATTATAAACAAATAATGTAAACAATGTGGTCAAATTAAATAGCAAAGTTAGGTACTGAATTGTTAGTCTGAACAGTTATATAATAAAGTTTTAAATTTATTTAATGAAAGCGAAAACAAATTCAAATCATATGACCTGCATTTATATGTTTTATGTAATTTATTGTAATCACAGTAGATTCGGTTCAAAATAGCATTGGAGTCAACATTAGTTCCTAATTGTTTGATATTAAAAGAACGGTAGGTAATTACTTAGTCTGGCGTTGCGACGAGGAATAGAAAACCGAAGTTGTAATAAAAGTTCAGGGCAATCAATTTGTCCCGAAACCAAATGGTATAGAAAAATTTGATTGACAATCCAGCGGCGACGTTGAAGGGTGCACATTTGAAAAGAATTTAGTCTGTCTTCGTATCCATTCAATAAGTGCAGCACTTGTTCTAGGTAATGTTATTGTATCTAATTTTCCAGGTGTATACGTTTTTTGAAGCCCTCGAGGCAATGTTATCGGCAAAGTCCACCGGTTCTTTTGCTTTCACTCCTTTCCGTAATACCTTTTTCAATATTTTCTGTATGACGGGTTTTATAAACATGTTGTACCAGCGAGGCAGTCATGCTATGTGATCGTATGTGCTGCATATGAGCGGGTTGAAAGGTGGTTCTCTTAACTAAGTCCAAACTTTCGATTTCGTTTAACTAAGGTAAACGATTATTTTATGGAGAACTATACGTTTTTACTACAAGATTCCGGAGCATATATTAAAATTATCATTTTCTAAGTATAAAACTTATATTAAAATTATTTTAATTAAAAAGTCATATTACGAAATTAAAGATTAAGAATTTACGTATTAGATAAAGATATACGATGACGACATGGGCCTAGATTCCACACATATTTTTGGAAACCATGGAATTTAAGTTTATTTGAAAAGAACAATCCCTAGAGTTTCTTGCTCGTTTTTCTCAAGGAAGTCAGCAGTGAACGAGCAGTAGTTTAAAATACGACGTTTTTACGACATTTCAAATGTAAATTTATTTTGCCTATGGAATAAATGGTTCTTTGACTTTGTTCGTTCGTTGTAACACTTTTAAGAATAGACGTGGACTGTATGGAAAGGAATGTCTGGAGAGAGACGGATTGGCAGGGAAAAAGGAATGCTGAACAACTGAACTATACTACAATTACCTTATAGGTCATCCTTAGCTGCACTCTTCCTCAACTTTCAGCAGACATCCTAATTAAGGGTCGGAACGCCTGGCGGTTCCGTTGGCGCAGTGGCTGTCAGAGGAGACTGCCAGTTGCGATGATGATCACTTCATTTATCACGGAACAGTGTTTAAGTATAGTACAATAACATAGTAAAATACAAGCGGTATTTCACACACATTTCTTACGCAGGGTGAGTTAAGACTTTAATTAAGACGGTGAATCCACAGAGCTAAACGATCATCGATGGGTGGTCCAAGGCGGACGCACGTTATACCCAGGACGGTTAGTTGTAGACTGTCCCAACTACGAACAGTTGCAGCAGGGTAAAAAGGATAGCAATATAAATGTTAAAGGAAATGAGGGTAGGTGAACCTACATGAACTACATCGGCGCGAACATATTTGAAATAACACATTTCATAATCTGTATTAGGTACTAAGTATCTATTTCAATTTTAGTCTTTCTTATTTATTTTCCTATTTATATTACTGTTTCGTTGTCCTCGTGCAGCTTAAAAATAGCTCTTATTATTGATACAAAGATCGAATGAACACGAAGATAAATACTTTCGATCCAGCTGGACAAGAACCATCGACTTTTTCACTAAACCCGGGCTATCACTCTCCCAACTGAACTACGGAATGAGTTATTATTATACGTAGACCATACGAATTTCTCCATGTGCTTGTTCTTAGTTCTTATGTTTCTACTTCTGTTCTAGTTCGTCCAAGACACACTACCTACTACACACACAATAAACAGACAGGTACCTAAACGAATACAAAATTTTATATAAGTAGGTATTCAAAGTACATACAATTAACAAGTATTAATTGCAGGAATTGAAATAAGAAGAATGCCGGTAAGAAT